TACCCACTCTTCAAATCCAAAGTAGAAGACCATTCATTCCCGGACAATTGATCCAGAAGATCATCAATCCTAGGAAGAGGATAGGAATCCTTAATCATGACCGCATTGAGTTTACGATAATCAACGCAAAATCTCAAACCCCCGTCCTTCTTCTTCACAATCACTGCCGGGGAGACCCACGGGCTAAAAGACTCTTCGATGACCCCTTGGCCCTTCATTTCTTGAAAAATCTTTTCCACCTCAGCCCGCATCCCCAACGGAATCCTCCTTGGAGCTTGCTTAATCGGCCGAGGATCCTGTAGATTTATTTCGTGCTAAAAAACATCACAGTTCCCAGCCACNATCTGTTCAGAGAAGACATCCTGAAACTCAACCAAAAATTCGGCAAAAACACCTCCGCCTTTTCCGGGAGAGCAACAATGAAAGACTCCACTGTCCTGTCCAACCTTGTCTTCCTGAAGAAGTCAAGACCCAGGATACAGTCATCGAGTATATNCGCCACAAATAGAGGCATGCTTAAAGAATGTCCCCCTACAACCACTCGAGCCACACATTCTAACCGAACCAGAATTTCCTCACCGGTAGGATATCTCAACCTCGGCCTCTCTGTCAACCTTCGACATTGCAATTTCTCTACAAAATTAAAATTTACGATCGACACATTGGAGCCCGTATCAAATTTAAAATTACACGATTTACTATTCAAAACACCAGAAAAAACAAACAAATTATTTTTCGTATTATTAAGTTGTTTAACCAACATTACCCTTTCCGGGGTGTCCCACCCCATAGCCAAACCTACCCTTGAAAGCTCGATTAAGCTTTGTTTTCCGACAAATTAGCCGGACACTCATAACGGAAGTGCCNCTTCTTCCCGCACTTCCAGCACTCTCTTTCCTTCCGTCCACTATCCCCTCTCTGCTCTTGCCCCTTCTTCGTTCCGTTCTCCGACCTCCGCTCGCCGTTTTTCTTAAAATTATACGGCGTCTCCTTGCTCGCCCCAAAACTATTCTCCTGAATAGCTTTCACCGCCGTCGCGCGCTTGACGGCAACCCTCAACAAAGTTACGTTCTCCATTTGCAACGCACGCTTTACAAATCTATCCGAAAAGGCGGCAATAAATTGTGCACAAGCGACTCTCTCGCGAATGTCATGCGTACTCTCTGAATACGCGAGACGCGCCAGACGCTCTATATCCGCACCGAGCGTCGCAAAATCCTCTCCGCCCCTCTGTTTACGATTAGTAAATTGTGCGTAACAACTGTAAAAAAGTTTTCGCTCCCCGAACCGCGATTTTAACTTAGAGCGAATATCCTCGAAGCTAAACCCCTCTTCCAGCCCCTCTAAAACTGAGCGCGCCTTTCCCCTCAGATTAGTAGCCAAAACCGTCGCTTTTGCCGCATCGCTCCACTCGTTCGCACGCGCGACCAACTCGAACTGCGCGAAAAATTTGCGCCACGGAACACTCCCGTCAAACACGTCCGGCTTAATTTTTATTCCCGTCAATTCCTCCGCCCGTACAGGAGAATGATTTGGAAGTGACTCGCCTGATACACCGCGGCGAAACTGCTTCTCCAAGTGACGGATATCCTTCTCCTTTCGGCGCACGAAATCACCAAATTTCCGCTCTTTCTGCCGGAACGAATCTTTTTCTCGTCGACGCTCCTCCCGCAGCTGCTCTAACTNCCGCAGGACCGCACGCAGTGTCTCGCTCTCGGACATTGCTGTCGCCGCTTTCGGCGCCGCCGACGTCTCTGCCGCTCCCGCCGCAACTTGACTGCGCGTTCTCCGCGGCTAACGTACCAGAGCCATCTCCTCGACCGCACACGCTCGATCCCGGACGAGCCCCAAAATTGTTACGTCCGCAGTGGCGATTTAGCTCTGTCGCCGGTCTCCGCGATTCGCACTTACACCCGCGGCCAAGAAAAAACGCGGTTTCTCGTTAGAAAACTTTATTACAACTCGAAATACAACGATAATTATAGAATACAGAACCAGATGTTCAAACGCGTCGTGACAGTTTCGCGGTCGCGATTCTTCTCTCTTTCTTCTTTTCTTTTTCAACAACTTGTCGTCGCCCGGTAACTGACAGTCCCGCCGATCGCGCGCCGTTCACGCCGCTTCCGCGACACATACGCGGTGATCCCCGCGTGACACTGCAGCTGAACCGCCACTGCGGACGTAACAGTATCAAGAGGCACGGTAGTGCCTCGCGCCAAGTTCACGCGCAACGAAGTGGCGCTCGAACTGCGCGAGCACACTGTGCTTCTTATACGCGAGATTCATGCACTTGAGAAGTGAGGAGATTTCTCAGGGCAATATTTTAGTAACGACTGAACCGATCACTTTCGTTTTAGTCTTAATCGATTCAAAATAAAATATTTGAAAAAAAGTATTATTGCGTTTTTTGGTTTGTGGTTTCTAAATGGAGATATGGAAGATAAATGAAAATGTGTGTGAAATTTACATTCAGAAACGTCATAGTCGTCCTTCTATCAAATTGTGTGAAATATAATGAACTGAAATTCAATTATAATGAATTGAAATTTTTATATGCACGGTTGTCTGATACATGTGCACATGTAAAATATGTCTGTCTGTAGATAAATTTTTGGTGCAACCGCGCCAAGTTGTTTTGCATTAAATATTTTTTATTTTGACAGAATTTTTTTTTCTTTTTTTTTTGTTTTTCACGGAAAGTAAAGTTTTGCTGGGTCTACTTGTTAGTTTCACTACAAATCCTTTTGTTAATTTAATAGGTTCAGACAATTCTTTTTTTCAAAATTTTTTCCGTAACAAACACTTAACAAAATAGTTATGTATACTTAGATTAGGATAATAATGTACAAAAGTAACGTACAAAATTTACTTGGTGCTACTTTGTGATATCACTTTTTTTGTAAAACGGGTTTTTANAGAAAGAATGTTTTGTAGTATATAAATGTTGTAAAACAGGTTTTATATAGGGAAAGAAGTTTTTGGAGTTATAAATAAAAAATAATTTAATTTAAATACAATACGTGTTGTGCGTGTACTTGGCGCCTGTTTTTACCTTTTTTTAAAAAGGTAAGTTTTTAGAATATCACACACTTTATATTTTAAGGTTTTTTTAGTTTCTCTAACAAAGGAATATAAACATTTGTAGTTTTTGTATATATATTATTATATTATAGTAAACTCTGATTATTATAAAACACAAAAAATGTTTACTATCAGTTCTACCACTATACTTGGCGCGAGACTATGGCTGCGTTCCGAGTTACGCATATCACATACTAATCTATACTATATGTAACGTGTACTATAGAAAAATGTCCGTATATGCGTAATTCGGAACGCAGCCTATATCTACACGAAAGTGTTGCCACCTGGCGGCGACAAGAGGCGAAGTACGCTCAAGCAATCTCAAGACGACGTGGACAAAAATTATGACCTTAGTTTTTTGCGATTTTAGAGTTTGTATCGAGATATTTCTGTTCAGAAGGCACGAAGGAAAAAAACCGCAAAATACTTTTTTTGTGCCTCGATCTCAACTTTCAATTGAGTCTAGGCCGAACTCGATCGGTTTAGCCGTTGTTGAAATTGGAAAATCGCGATATTGCCATTTGGCCATTTTCGCGTATAAGAGGCACGGGGTATGTACCTCGCGCAGCGCGCGCACACTTTGTTTGCGCATATACATGGCGCGAGACACTATTCGCGCGCGCGCGCGCGTGCCTCTTGATATACATGAATAAATAATATTTTCATCACATATCGCACAACAAGATGACGATAACAACATCCGTGTTTTTAGTTCCAACTGCCTGTCACGTTTGAAATTTACATATTTTTGGAACTGTTTGCCCTTTTTCTGAATTATATTCGAACTTCTTCACTTGTAGTATACAAAGTGCTGTGATTATCTTTACTTTGCAATTATTTGTTGCGTTTTTTTAATAGTACCCAGACGGCACAATGATGTATTTAAGATGTATTGAAGATATCTCACAGAGACTTTGAATGTGCAAAAGATATCTCGTTGAGACATTTTTGAACAAGTAATGATGTTCAAATAATATCTCAGGGATATGCCTGAGACTGCTAATGTCCACATCAAAAATATGCAAATGATATCTCTTGCAAAAGTTTCAAAAAATTAGGGAAATATCGAGATTTTGCTCGAATTAGTTTTTGAAGGCCTGATACACACAGCTCGTCCGATCAACCGATGAACTCTATTAAAAGGGACCGGACCTGAAAAAAATCCTAAGGTGATTAGTGAGATTCGAACTCGAGACCTCCGCAAGCCCATATCCGCAGCCCCTGCACTCAGTCCGCGAGACCACTTGCTACTTACTAAATTATAATTGTTTTTATCTACTTATTCTTGAGCTATTGTACACAGTTTGTTTATTATTTATTTTAATTATTATTTAATAAAAATATTGCAGTGCAATGTATACATTGCAACTTGAGAATTGATTCTCATATCTCGCGCAAAATATATTGTGCGAAGATTTGTGATATCATCAATAAATATTTTTAAAATATCATAAGAATATTACTGAAGTGTAATACACTGCATTCAAATTTCCTATACATTAAACGATGTCTTTAAGATATACTTGAAAGAAAACAGTACTAATATTCTTAGAATAATATCTGTGTGATATTTCAGGGATGTGATATCACATGATATCACGAAAAACACGTAGAAACAATATTATTCTACAATCAAATAATATCATGTGCCGTCTGGGTACTAATATAATTAATAATTATAATTATTTCTTTAATAATATGTGTTAGTATTAAGGTAAGATTTTAACGCTAACACATATACGTATGTTACATACAATAATTAACGTAAGATAGCCCAACATTTGTAGTGACAAAACTAAAATACTTTTTTTCACAGAACAACTTATTTTTATTTAGAAATAAATACAAAAATAAATTTATCAACTACAATGTAAACGGTAATGTGATAATATTGTTATTATTTATGCATATTTCAGATGGCGCGCAAGTATTTACAAACTAGTCTGGACCGATCTAATTGTGTATCTCTTCATGTATTATTTACTGTCTGGGATTTATCGATACTTATTAGACAATAAACAGAAGGAGACATTTGAGTCTCTAGTGGCGTATTGCAACCAATACAATGATTTACTACCATTAACGTTTATCTTAGGATTTTATGTTAGTATTGTAATGACTAGATGGTGGAATCAATATATAACGATACCATGGCCCGATTCTATCGCAGTTTACGTATCAGCTTTTATAGACGATAATGATGAACGCGGACGTCTAATACGCCGAACAATTCTTAGGTTAGTAAAAAATACTATTTTCCAATTATCATATTATATCACTACTGCATATCTAGCATATTAACAATTTTGTTTAATACATCAAGTTTCTAAACTCTATGTTTCAACAGATATGTTTGTCTGTGCTTAACCATGGTTTTGGCAAACGTTGCACCACGCATAAAAAAAAGATTTCCTACTTTAAAGCATTTTGTAACAACTGGGTTGCTACTGGACACCGAATTGTCAGTATTTTATGATATTCACAAAAAATGTTCAAAACCGAGTAAACATTGGCTACCAATAGTTTGGGCAACAAGCATTGTAACTTACGCTCGAAGGGAAGGTCGAATATGCAATGATTTTGCGGTAAAAACTCTTATTGATGAACTCAATCATTTCTGTGGCAATTGCAGCAAAATTTTACACTATGCCACAATTAGTATTCCTTTAGTATATACTCAGGTAAGGTCAAACTTTAAGCAATAAAATTGAGCTTTACTATATTTTAATATATTTTATTGTTTCTGTAGACAGTAACTTTAGTAGTATACACATATTTTCTGACGAGAATAATAGGCCATCAGTGGATCCAAACCTCAGAGTCAAACTTTGATATGTATTTTCCAGTATTCACAGTATTACAATTCGTTTTTTACATGGGTTGGCTAAAAGTAGCTGAAATACTAATCAATCCGTTTGGCGAAGATGATGATGATTTTGAAGTAAATTGGATAATTGATCGTAACTTACAAGTAAGAGTTGCAGTTAGTTGTTTTATTATTATAATACAAAAATAGTTTTAGTATAAAACAAAATTAGATTTGTGAAATTTTGAGTAATTTAGTTATATTTTAATATTATAATTTAATGTTTAAACACCTTTAAATAGCCGAACTGTTTGAGCCGTAAGACTAGACATTTTGTCAAAAAATTGAATGTTTCTTTTTTAAACATTTCAGTTGTTTTTAAACCATCTTCAGTGGGCTCTGTTACAAAGTAATAACAATTCAAGTCAATTACAAATTCAAGTGTAATTATTAATAATGTTGTTAAATAGCATACTCATGGAATAAAACCAGACCCATCAAAAATAAGTGCAGTAAGAAATTTTCCTGTGCCGACAAAGATAAAAGATATACAGGCTTTTATAGAATTGGCAGGCTATTATCGGAAATTCATTGACACAAAATTATAGGATATATTTCTTTGACTTGGAGATAACCGGGTTTATTAGGAAAGCTGCTCGGGAACGTTTAAACAAAAATTTTTGTTTGCTATCGTCTACGACGGAATTTTTAAGATTGTTGCTAAGCTCGATTTATTGTTTTCGGGCGTCGACACGATTTCTAATTGCGCGCCTATCGCGTCGAAGTCTGAGTCTATTTGTGTTATTTATTGAAAATAATAATTTATTGTATGTCGGCGCGTCACGTTGCAAGAAAAAGGGCACCGTGAAGTCTCAGGACGTAACAACTGAAACGGAATTTTTATAAAAATAATGACATAAGAAGGTTTTTGTCTAGTAAGAGTTCTAATGACATACAGCGTCACTGGTTTGTCTTACCTTATATCAACAAATTTTCGGAGAAATTTTCAAAAATATTTCTTACACTAACTCCTATGTGAAATCCGTATATGCAAACAAGGTGTGCTGCTCAATCTTTCTTTTAATATTTCAAATGCTTGTTGCTGTTCTTGGCTCCACTCGAACTTGACTCCTTTTCGTGTTAGCTGAGTCAGAGGTTTTGCAACTCTTGAGAATTGGTCAATAAATTTCCGATAATAGCCCGCCAATCCTATGAAAGCCTGTATATCTTTTATCTGTGTCGGCACAGGAAAATCTCTTACTGCACTTATTTTTGATGGATCTGGTTTTATTTCATCCTCGGTAATAATGTGACCTAGGTACGTGACTTCCTTCCGGAAAAACTCACACTTATCCGGCAGTAATTACAAATTATTTTCTTGAAATTGCTTGAACACGTCTTTTAACCGTTTACTGTGTTCCTTTAGGCTGGCTCCATGTATTACAATATCGTCCAGATACACGAAGCACTTTATGCCTTGTAGTCCAGTTAAAACCAAATTCATCAATCTCTGAAATGTGGCTGGCGCGTTCTTCAGACCGAAGGGCATTCTGGTGTACTCATAATGCCCGTACGGTGTCGAAAACACTGTCTTGCACTTGTCCGTTTCTGCCATGGGTATTTGATAATACCCCGATGCAAGTCCAACGTGGATTCCCAGCTGGTCCAGAATTTCCGTTATGTTAGGTAGAGGGAACGAATCTCCAATAGTTACGTCGTTTAGATGTCGGAAATCCACCACTATTCGCAATTTTCGAACACCTGACGCGTCCATCTTTTTAGGCTCCACTAAAAGTGGCGTGTTCCACTGACTTTGGCTAAGTTGAATTATTTCATTGTCTAGCATTTCTCTTATCTACCTATCAACTTCTTTCTTATGTTTTTCTGGCAGTCGGTACGGCCTTACATTAATCGGCGCAGTGTCGGCCTTGACCGGAATCTGATGCTCCACCGCGTTTGTCTTACTCAACGGTTAGCCGGCTAAGTAAAAAATATTGCTATATTCTTTGTTTAACTCGTAAAGTTTCTTTCTTTTTTCTCTATTTAAATGTTGTACCCGCAACATTTCTCTTATTTTTTCCTGACGCGTAAGGCCGCTAAATTCATTTTTCGTCTTGTTTACCTCTAAACTTCCATCAACGGCCGTTACTGGCTGTTTTTCTTCTGCTTCAATTCATCCTACCTGATTATTATCTGGTATCGCTGTTATAATGGCCTCACATCTTGATAGTATCTTTAGGTTTCTATGAGAATGCAGGGTCAGCGCCTCCTGTTCTACAAGAATTTTTCCTTTCTTATAGTCGTGAATGACATAATATTTCTTTAAGAAATCGCTTCCTAAAATTCCTTCATAATTTATAGAAAAGTTATCCCTTACAACGTACATAGGATGCTTGATTTTCTTATTCCTCAACTGGATTGTTGCCACAAATTTTTCTATTACGCAAGTTGTGTTACAGGTCATAAACCCAGATAGCCAAATGTGAAAACTCAATATAAAGCAAATTATTGTATAGATTAAGTTGCTCGCCAATTGCTGTTGTGTTGTTTTTATTTAACGAAATGGTTTTGTCAATTCAGTATCAATATGCTGAGTTTTATTATCAATCAATTGTTGTAGCCAATGTTTAGAACATATGAGTTAGCAATATGTGAGCAATATATGAACAATTATTTTTATTCATAAGTTGAGAAAACTAATATAAGTTTATTGCCGATGAGTTGTTGAGAACTTGCTGTTATTATATTTTGAAAACTGTTGTTGGCAAGAACATACTGAAAAGAGGATACACCCTTTTGTTACATTGCTGAAAACATATGAGTAATATTTGTGGCAAGTTGCCAACAACTTGCACTTAGTTGGCTATCTGGGAAAGCTTCCGTATTCATTTGTTAATTCCGCGGGAGTTTTTCCTTTCAAGCATTTCTTTTTAATGAGTGACACTGAGGCTCCTGTGTTATATAGTAACTCTGCTATTCCACGCTTCGCTTCTTTAATTGGCATTTTCACGATGTCCAAACCTGCTTGCGTCGTATTTACTTTAGTAATTTGAAGCTCTGCTATCGTTTTAGCTTTCTTTTTCTTAGTGCCATCCTCGTCATTTTCGGATAAGTCGTTGCTATCGCTCTGATTCTACTTTTTGCTTTGTTTTTTATGCGATGCATCATTCGCTTTCTTCCCTTGATATTTTTTCTTATCATTCAGAGCCCAGCAATTTTCTTTGGAATGTCCTTTTTTCTTGCAATAATTGCAATATTTTTCAACGGCATTTATTCTGCCGCCCGCCTTTGGTAACGACACTTTGCTGACTCGGCACTTTTGACCGAAGTGTCCGTGCTTTTCGCATTTAAAACATGTGTCTTTATTATATTTTCTTTTGTTTTGCGTATTCTAATTTTTTATTTGCCCAGTATGAGGTGTCATCACTTTTTCCTCCGAACTGGCCGCATTTATGGCCTCCTGTAGAGTTCCATAATTTTGTGAGCGAATTTTTACTCTAATTTTGCTTTTTAATCCTATCTGAAATTGTTGTAATACCTGCTCTTTGATTCTGCTCATAATTATCCGTTTTTCTTCAATGGTGTGTCTCCTACCTTCCACCATAGCCCCATACAACTCCATGGCGATTTTATTTACACTTTGGCCGTACGTTTGCACACTTTCGCCATTCTTTTGCCTCAATGTGTTAAAATCTATCTGCAACTGAGTAACACTCTTCTTTGCAGCATAGGTGTTCTCAACTTCCTCTTTTAATTGTCCGAAGTTGCAGATATTCTTTGTCATTCCTCTAAAAGATTGATCGCGAGCAACGACAGACAGATCGTGAGTAGCTGTTGAATACTGTGGCGCTCCGAGTCTAAGCGGAGAGTTTACGCAGTATAGCAACGGCTAAGGGTCAGAAATAGAGTGCTAATTTTGTACAAACAAGTTGTAAAAGTGATATTTAATAAATTTCGTCAGTTTATAAAAATCTCATTCAGCAACCACGTCCTACGACTTCCCGTAATCTCAACAGACGGGTTTTTAAAATTCTGATAGATAATCTGTGTGAATTATCGAAAACTTACTCCAGTCACAATGAAGAATTTTTATCTTCTTGCTAAGGTTGACGATTTTTGAGATCAGTCCCAGTCAGAAATATCTTTTCGAATCGACGTCGATTCGACGTCGATTATACTAGTCGATCGACGGGTGAAATTTGTAGTCGATTTGACTTAAAAATGGACACAAATTTCGACCAATTATTGACAAGTCGATTTGATATCGATATTATGTGAAGACAGATTGAGTCAATCTAAATAGAAAAGTCTTATACCATTTTGCAAATATTCGTAATAATTATTGAGAATGATTAATTAATACATTATGATGATTAATACATGTGAATTAATACATGTGACTGAGCGCGTGGGAACCGATGGCCCGAACTTTGTAGACGTGTATGATTTTAAGAAGTTGTAAAGAAATATGGGTTACTTCATGCAATCTCCTAACAGAAAAAAAGCATACAAGCAAGCGACATGTAACATAGCTTCTTACGATCAGCTGAATTTCTTAACTGAAAATTATACACGCCTACAGAGTCCAGACTAGCGCTCTTATATAAGAAAATATATTATATATTAACTTATATTATTCATATAGTATATATTATATATATTTTTTAACATATATATATATTTTTTTTATATGGTATTATAAAGTATTTTACATTTATATTAAAAACTCAAGTTTTATAAACAATAATTATGAAGATAGGTCCACTCTGTTTTAAATTCTTTTTTGTCGCGTTTTCCATAACTTCCATCTTCTTGTTTCCTGTATGGAGCATTTTTTAACCATAGTCCAGCGTACTTTGATAAATCCGCAATAATTATGTTTGGTCTTTTCTCGTGAATTGCACCTAAAAATAAAATAATGTTGCAAATTATAAAGCAAAATTATATAAGCAAGAAAAATTCTTATTGTTTGTAAAAAAAAATACGTATATTTCAAAAACTTTAGAGAATATCATGTATTTACCTATAATCACTTCCCACAATAATAGTTTGCTGAAAGGTTTTTTTTTATTGCCATCGCCTCGAAAGTTGTATTTGCACGCAAGAGTATTGGTAATCGCTGCAGCCATAACTGCATACAATACGTCACTATCTTTTACTTTGGTTTCTTCTTTGGCTTTTACTTGTAATTGTGCAAAATGACATATCTAAAATTGTGAAGAAGGACATCACTGTTTAAGTAAGTACCAATTAAAGTAAAAAACTGCAAAGCAAAATGAAAAAAGAAAACATACTAAAAAACAAAAATTTTCGTTATTCTTTAGAAATTCCTCGGAAATCTTCATTTCCTCTTCAGTTTTTAAAGGATATGATGGCATGTCGTTAGAAAGAATACGCTTTTTGTCATTTGGCAAAAGAAAACGTGAAAGCCTGTAATAAAAAGTCATAACTTTATCAAACTTCAAATTTATTTCCTGCCTCTCAACTGCTGCTTTCTTTTTTATGTCCTGAACTTCTTTCAATATAAGATGTAAAAGAGCTGTATCACCTAGAAAAAGGAAATTAAAACAAGCAAATGGCAAATTAATCATTGCTGACTTGTTTGCTGCCTTATTTAATAGAAAAATAAAAAATTACAATTATATTAAAATATTTATATATATGTTATTCAATTATAAAATGAGATTTTTGAATCGACGTCGATTCGACAAGATATTTCTGACTGGGAGTTGTCCGGGAATGAATGGTTCTTTACTCTAAATATTAAAAGTGGATATTCGCAGTTAATAATTCGACCAGTACGTATAGGAAAAACTGCTTTTTCAGTAAGCATTGTGTGAATTGTGGCATTTCATGGTGATGCCTTTTGGTGTGTGCAACACTCCAGCCACTTTTAAGCGCTTTGTGAAGCGAGTTCCTTAACAGTTGCTAACCATGATTTGTTTGGTTTATTTGCATGACGTAGTTGTTTTCGGTACGTTTTTTGGGAAGAAAGTAAGTAATTAAAAAGAAGTTTTCTGAAGCTCAGAGCGGTTAATTTGAAGCTCAAAATGTAATGTAATGTAATGTAATTTATTTAGAAGCAGGTGAAATATCTTGGTCATGTGATTTTGGCTGAAGGCGTCTCGACGGATCCGGAAAATTGCAACTGTGGCAGAATATCTTGTTCCGCAAAATAAAAAACAAGTGTTGTGCTCTTTGTCACAACGGATTTTTTTGACGGGAATAGCAGCAGGTACAGGGAGAAATGTCCTCTTGTTTAGTATTAACACGGAGTTTATTTCTATTTAAATACAATTCTTTTCAATACGACGACTTATGGACTAATTCTGACGTTGTCATCTCGCAGCGTCCTTTTATACCTCTTTTTGGGGGTACTGGAGCATCGCTTTGCCTGTATGACCTCGTATCGCAGCAAAACAATGTTGCGCTATCCGCTTAACTCTGCTTGATCAGCACGCGGAGACAAATCTGTCACTCCTGCTGATCAAGCAATACGTGCTTAAACCACTTATTTTTTAAAAACAGACTGTCAGCTAAATATATATTTTTATAATAAAAATTACAAGTGTTTTGCAACACGAAATAATAATAATACTCATATCNTAAACACTATTTCTCAATTTAGTAATTCCGGCACATGTTTGCAATTTTCTGGAATTTTGTTTTTATTATCGTAAATTTGAAAAAGGTTTTTCTTTACTTGTGAGGCCACTGTTTGCTTTGACTGAAAACCAAATTACGTTTGTTTGGATTAAGGAGTGTCAGAAGGCTTTTGCAAATCTCAAGCAGGACAACGTCTGACACTTCTCCTCCTGTGCTTTCTTTTCTTCTCAAAGAAGGAGAGTTATTTCTGGACACGGATGCTGCCGGACATTGTAATGGCGCGGTTTTATCGCAGTTTCAGCGGGGGACGGAGAGGGCTATTGCTTATTATAGTTGGATGTTGCGTAAGGCTGAGAGGAATTATTGTGGTACTCGGCGGGAATTATTGGCGATGGTTGATTTGATAAAATCTTTCTGTTACTATCTGTATGAGAGGAAGTTTTGAGATCACACTGATCATGCTTCACTTAGATAGTTTAGGTTTTTTTCGATAATTAGAGGGTCAAGTAGCTCGCTGGGTAAGAGGCAGTATAAATTTGAAATAGTTCATCGGAGCTGTTGAGCGCACGGGAACGCAGATGGGCTTTCTAGGCAACTTTGTGCGTTATCTTGCTTCAGGTATTGTTTGAAAGTGAAGGAGAGAGATGCCTTGAAGCAGGAATGACGGGTTTGAATACTTTTTGAGAAGGTTGCGTCTGTGGAATGGCGAATGGATCAGTTGGAAGACCAGTCCACTCGATCTTTTGCTGGGAAATAAAAAAAGTTATTGTTCTTCTTGGAAAAAAGTTTCTGCTGCTTCTCTTTCTTTGAAGATTTATTGGTCTCATTGGGACGCTTTAATTGTTTTGGATGGAGTTCTGCATACAACGTAAGTTGCTCCAAATTAAAAATCAAGTTTCTTTTAAGTAATTATTTTTTCCAGAAGAAAGTTAAGCAAATTTTTGAAGAATGCCGCATGATGCTTCTTTAGATGGTCATTTCAAAGTGAATAAGACGTTTGGAAAAATTTGCAAGCGGTTTTACTGAGTTTCGTGTAAAAGAAATGTGACAAACTGGTGTAAATCTTGCAAAATTTGTATTGCAAAAAAAAGGTACTTTGGACAAGAATAAGTCTCCGTTGGAGGTTTTTAATTCCGGCGCGTTTTTTGAAAAGTTGCAGATGGACATTCTAGGTTCTTTTCCGACGCTTTTTTCTAGAAATAAATATCTNCTTGTGGTCGTGGATTGTTTTTCTAAGAAAATGAAAGCTTTTCCTTTAATGGATATTAGGGCGTCGACTGTGGCGAAAGTTGTTGTATATCAGGTAAGTTCTAGATATGGGATGCTGTTGAAATTACATACAAATCTAGGTAAAAATGTTAATAAACAAAAGTATTCTGGCTGTAGAGAAGTAAACATTGTTGTTGGTGTGTGAATATTTAAATCAGTTTATTGAAACTTAGTTGCATAACGCTTTCGACCTTGTATTAGGTCTTTCTCAAATGGTTGCTTCTACAGCCAGAATACCTTTGTTTATTATAAAGTCTTGAAGCTATATACTCATTCTTTACATAAAAATGTTCAATCGCGACTTTTTCAGAAAGTGTCGTGGTTGTTAGAAATGACAAAGACAAGGACTACTGCTCTTTATCTGCAGTCTGATGGGCAGGTTAAAAGACAACATCAAATAATAATGTAGTATTTGTCTAATGAGAATCAGAGAAAACTGGGATTGTTGGGTTCTTATGTTCTTTGTTGCTTACAGATCTTCTAGGCATGAGGTTACGGGGGTTTCACCTGCTGAATTGAATTTTGGACGTAATTTGCGTCTGCCGTTAAATTTGTTATGGGGCATTTCGCCGAATTATTGTTTAAGTACTTCGAAAGATTATATTCGTGAGTTGGAGGCAAAACTACAGGAGGTCCATCAAGTTGTTAGAAAGCGTTTACAATTGAAATTGAACGCAGCAAAGATACGATATGATTTGAAAGCTAGGCATGTTCCTTTTGATGTTGGCCAAAAGGTTTCTTTACTCCTGGCAGGACTAAAGGAAAAATTTTTACAGAAAAATTGAGAGGAGTTTTACGTGGTTGTTAAGAAATTTCCATTTCAATCATTAGCAGCTTATCATCTTTAACAAATTTATATTAGATATGTTATTCAAAAAATAATTATTAACAATTATACTTGAAGTTGTACTTGATTTTAAGTGTTATTACTTTGTAAACTAGTTTACTGAAGATGGCTTAAAAAGCAACCGACACGCTGGATAAAGAAACAAATTCAATTTTCTCTTCGACAAAATATCCAGTACAACAGTTCAAACAGATCAATACTTCAAAGAATTTGAACATTGCGAGCACGAAGTTTACACTTATACAATTATATTAAAGTATAATTTATTATAATTACATTTTACTAATATTTGGTACGTTCAATCTAATATAAACATGCGTTGTCATTAGTTGTTTTTTAAAGGTAAGTTACTTAATCATCAACGAAATGCAAACTTCATTGAGTACAATTGAAGATCTATTAAAGGAAAGTGATGATCTCATCAACCATTTTAATACAGGACAAGAAAAAATGAGAGAGGAAGAAATAGTTTGTGTCGAGCATATCGCTCTAAGATTTTAGCAAAGATGTTGCACTACTTCGGCACGTCTAATCCAAAATTGTAGTTCAGAATTTCTTCACCAAATTATGTAGGTAGATGTCAGGCGTGAATGGGTGATACTCTATTGACCACAGTACGATTCGACACCGCTCGATTCGACACAGATTTATTCGACACCAAATTATTCGACACCGTACGATTCG